CCCATGAGTGCGCGGTCATTGCGAAGGTCTGTGTCCATGGGGGCCCTGGCGTGGACGTCGGGGTCGCCAGGGCTGATCAACGTCGGCGTCAGCTGCAGGAGGTGGGCGAGGGAACAGTTCAACGGCGATTAATGGCTCGGCGCCAAGCGTGCGCTGAGCCACCTCTGAGGGGGTCGCGTCGCAGTCCACTTCGACGCCCAGACTTATTGGCAATTCGAAGGTGACAATCTCGGGCTCGTTTCCTCGCTGGACATTCAGTCGGGCGTTCAGCTCAACGACCGCGTCGTCGAGACTGCCTGGGCTGGGGATGCCGTCGGAAGGCACATCTCCCATCGCGGTCCTCTCCGCGTGCCCGAAAGGCCCGTTCTCGAATGAGACGTCGAAGCCATGCGCGTCTTGCTGGCGCATGCTCTCCGCGACAATACCGCGGGCGCGCCCCTGCAGCTCATCGGGGCCATCCATGGGCGAGGTTCTGGGCGGTGAAAAAGAAGGCTTCCATGGCCTCGGGCCCTGAGAGGTCATCAACGCAAGCCTCCGCGCATGAACCAAAGTTGGCCTCGGCAGCGGAGCCCCGCCCATTGCCCTTCGACGGGCAGTCTTTGATCGCGTGTTTTCACTTCCGCACCCGCGGCAATTGAGGGCCTTGCCGTCGCGGCCCCGGGGGTTGTCGTCTCTACCTCTGCCTTCCCAAGCGTTCTGCGACCTCGGCCTGCGCCTCTGCCCCGAGGAATACCTCTTTGTATAGGTCGTCTGACAAGGTACATGCAATAATTCCCCGCCCGCGCAAGCGTCTCCGCCCGCCCTTGCCGTTGCCCACGCCTCCTGTTATCCTCCGAATCATCCGTTTTACCCTTCGCGCTGCCTGCGCATGAATCTCCTCCGCCTCCGTTTTGTTTTGAATACTCGCCAGAATAACTGTTCCGCCCTTTGCGCGGCGTTCTCCACGCTTTGAACGTCTGTCCAGTCTACGCGCGGGGTGCCAATATGGGGAGGGGGGGGGGCAGTGTCGGATCGGAGTCAGTCCAGGGTCATAATCGTCGTTGCGGCATACGCTGACTCCATAGGATGAGCCTCGCTCCAACATGGGTGGAACTGCGCCGGGGGCGCTGCCGCCGCGCGACCAGTGCGCCAGGTGGGCGGTCGACGGGTCGTTTGACTTGTTGACGGCCTGTGGGCGGGCAATCAGAGCGGTGCCTTTCCTGGCGCCGTCTGCCCGAGCGTCGTTCCCGTTTCGAGGCTCCGAAGTGACGGTGGCATGAGCGTGGTGTGGTTGGCTGTTGCCGTCGCGACCTAGTCCGAATGTTGATTCGATGTTCCCTGGTGAACGATCAGCCATGTGTCCCGCGGGCCGCGCGCGCTCGATGAGGCCTTCGTTGTCCACCTGAGTGCGCGGCATCCGTCGGTTCCGTGATTCTAATAATTGGGTAGTCCTCTGGGTGCCATCTCCGAGGGCTCGAAATGCTGCGGCGATGCGTCAGACTTTCGGTACGTCGAATCCAGCGACTGTGCCTCGAAACGCGCCCTCGAACCTGGCAAGGGTTTCGGCAATCCGCTCGCTATTGGGCACGTCGACGTCGATCAGTTGAGTACCTGTGGTGGTGTTCGGAATGAGCCTGATGCGCGTGGCAGGATGTGTGTGTCTCTGATGTCCACGCCGAGGTTCATGTTGTCCGGAGAGATGTTCGTGGCGATCTTGCGCGCAAGCCCCCCCGAACCCTCCTCGCTGGAGGGCTGCTGTTTGTTGGTGCGGGGTCATTCGAGTACATTAAACCAACCAAACGTTCTTCTCATCGACAACTTCCTGAACAAAAAGGTATGGTCCTGGCATGGGGGGGGTGCTGTTGTCGCTGCCTCCATTGTAGTGGATGTAACCGATACCAGATCCAATGCGCAGCCATACGATAACACAAATAACGCGCCTCGAGAATTTCAGCCTTGCATTTCCGCGTGCGGATTCTGTTTTTGTGGGTGCGGCTTGGCGTCGTGGTTAGAAGTTTGACGCACTTCCGTGCGGTATCTTTCCCTGCTCGAGCCGTTGGGGATTGGTGTCCGATTCTCCTTTTCGGAGGGATTGCAGGGCTGATAGGTTCGGATAAGTTCAGCAGCGCGAAAATGAGCAGAGCCCTTCGTGTCGGCTCTGGTACCTACTTCGAACTTGTTTCCAAACTCATCTCGGTAAAAAACTATTAGATCGACGGAATCGCGGACGGAATGTGGGCTCGTAGACGGGGGTGACAGTGGTCACGTGGATCGTGCCACAGGGTGATATTCGAATACCAAATACGGGATCCAACCGCGCAATAGTATGGCCAGCTCCGCTACCAAATCGATAGCAACGTGGTGACGTCACATGGTGCACTGCTGCCTTGTATATTGATCGTGCTACAGGGACTTGTATTTTTCCTCCCACGTAGCACCGGTAGCGTATCGGTGGTCAAACAAGGTGTGCGCACCTTGAGCCACTGGCAACACAGGAGCACGCTAGATCTTCCCCCCGGACGCGTCCTTTTAAACGAAAGGACCCCCAAGGCGCTTTTTACCAGATGCGCAGCAGCAGGATGGTGACGTCCTGGCAGTTGGAAAGAAAACAAGAAAAACAGTGGAACCCGCCGCTGGGGATGGCAGCAGGGACAAATCCAGGCGAGGAACGGCCCAGACCTGCCACTGAATCCAAACTGGCTGCCGACTAAGGGCCGCGAAAATCGCGCAACGGGCAAGCCGACACACTCGGCTTGGCCGACCGCCGGCCCCTACCGCAAATCCTGGCGCAAGGCACGGAAACGATTCTGTCCGCGAGGCGGTGGCGAGAGGAGGAGGGGGCGGAGAAACTATGGCCCCCCTCGCTACCTACGGTCGTGCAGACGCGACCACCCGCACCGTCGACACCACCACCACCACCACCAGTGAGGGGCCCAGCGGGGGTCGGAGGGGTGGCGTCGAGGTAGTCACACGCAACGTCGAGGACAAGTGAGAGCGCCACATGCGCAATGCCGCCAGGGGTTCGTCGGGGGGGCGCCGGGGCCAGGGCCGTCGTCGTCGTCGTCGCCAGGGCCAGGGCCGTCAAGAGGGCCCCAAGAGAGCCCCAAGAGGGCCCCAAGAGATCCCCAAGAGGGCCCAGGAGGCCTCCAAAGGGCCACAAGAGGGCTCCAAGATGCTCCTAAACCAAAGATCGACAGTCGTCGTCGTCGTCGTCGTCGTCGGCGGCGTCGGCGTCGGCGTCGGCGGCGGCGTCGTTGTCGTTGTCGTTGTCGTCGTCGTCGTCGTCGTCGTCGTCGTCGTCGTCGTCGTCGTCGTCCCCCTTCTTATTACGCTGCATGCTGCTTCATTTTCCTGATGCAAACAATCTGCTGGGGCATCGTCGCTGCAGTTGCCCTGGGTTTACCATGTACGTGGTGTTAGGGGGCAAAAGATTCCTGCGGCTGGAGGGGATACCGGGCGTGCAGCAATTTCAAACAATTATGCTCTTAGAGGCCAGCCCCATCTCAAAACTAAGGCTCTCGCATTGGCGCCGCGCACATTATTGTCAAAAGCTTTGCACTTACCGGGGTGGGGGCCAAATCTTTTTCATCATCCGAATCTCGCATCCATGCCATGCGCATCAGTCATGAAGGTCAGCAATAACTATAAAACTTGTGGCCAAACCGTTTCAACAAAGAAATCTTGCCAGAGACTTCACCAACAAATTCGCCGACCCTGTCGGCGTGTGGCAGGCGCTGTCGTCGTCGTCGCCGTCGCCGTCGCCGCTACCTTCCGCTTCCACTGGCCCTCCTCTTCAACCGCCAGCCACCAGGAAATCGAGGAACGTCGTAGTTGTTCAGTCGAGAGGAAGTCTCTTCCTCAAGATCTCTTCTTTGCTGGGGAAGGTCCCGCGAAGGGCGGGGGGAGGTGGGGGAGAGGGGTCGGGTGGGGGAGGGGTGTGGGGGTTGGGGGGTTGGGTGTGGGGGTCCCTGGTCAGAATGCCGTCCCCCTGGGGTCCTGGAGGGGTCGCCAGCGGGGGTCCCGGGAGAGGTCCCGCATACAAGGTTGGCGGCGCAGGCCGTAAAGCTTTGAACTTGTCTAACAAGTAGACGGATGGAGGCCGGCACCTGTTCAAAACTGGGTTCCCGCCTTGGCGCCGCTCACATTCGTGTGAATAGTTGGCAACACATGCAAGGATGGAGGGAAGTTCCCTTTTCGAAAAGGGGCTCGCTCCTGAGCGCCGCACAAAATTGTCTTCAACGCGTGCAATAGCTACAAGGGTGGAGGGCGCTTTTGCGCCACGCACATCCATCTGACAATCTTGCAACAATTACTACACTGATGGATTGCAACTCGTTTTCAAACTGGGGCTGCCGTCTTGCCGCCGCGCGCTTTCCTTTCAAGCGTTTGTAACACGTACAAAATGGGCAAAATGTTGTTCTTTCAAAACATGCCTACCGATTGCGACTCTATGCCGCGTTTGACGGCCACAAGCTAGAACATATGTAACAGCTGCACTGATTGAGGGCGGCACCTTCTCATCATGGGGCTTTCGTCGGCGTCTTCCTGAAATATATACCTTCCCAGATTGCTAGCTTGTGCAACAGCTACACTGAGGGGGGCGGCTCCTCTTCAAAACGGGGCTCTTGGCGGACACAATGTTTAGCTTTCTGTTCCTGGCTTGTCGCATTCCTTTCAACTCGCTAGGATGATGCAAGGCAACCCCTTTTCGCACCATGGCTCGCGTCTGAATAGCAAGCCCACTGGGCGCTCCTTTTTCAAGGGACGCTTCATGCAGTGGCAGGGAAGGCTTGCAGTGACTCGTGAGGGAACTTGGGACGAGAGGTTGTATTTCAGCATCGTTGGTACATCTTGGGCTTACTCTGGTCCTCCTGCTGCTCCTCCTCCTCCTCTTGGTTTCCACAACAAGTGGGTAACACATAGTCCAACAGCTCGGCCAGACTTTGGCCCAACTTTTGGACACATCGGCGTTTTCAAAAGGGCAGGAGGCGGCGATGGTTCGCCGCAAGCGTCTTCGATACATGCACTCCTCCACTTGATCCGTGACGGCCTCGTCATGCTTTTCACCCAGCCTTCTGTGCCTCCTGTGGCGGGCGTTCGAGTGTCTCGGCAACTCGATGAGTATGGGATCCCCCATGTCCCTCACTGTCACCTCGTTCCCGTCCAGCCGGATGCCGAAGGACCGCACGCCACCCGTTGTGATGTGGAAGTCGAACGCCACCCCGGTGCTCGAGTTGAGCACCACGGCCAGGGCGGTAGAGCCTGCGTACGAGAACGGATTCTTGTGCCATCTTGTATTCTGGAGGCTTATCGTTTCCCCGCTGACGAGTCTACGCCCAGACTTCAGGCGACGGCCTGTGCCGAGGTCTGGCATCGCGGGGAGCACGAGTCCGCCCAAACTGGCGCCGTGGGCTGCCAACTCGTCGTTGTCCACTTTCATAACGCTGAACTGCAAGCCGGCTGCGGTGTTCATCGTCACAGCCTCGCCTGCAGCGGCGGCCTGGATGACGGCGTCGCCAATATTCTCCGTAGCATGCTGCAGCTGGCTACTTAGGGCCTTCTGCTCTGCTGCCTGCTCGCCCGACAGACCGTCCCCTGCTGCGGCCGTGGCTGTGTTCAGCAGCGTGGCGACGGAGCCCATCAGCAGCGTGGCGGTCCCTACATCCATGCCTTCGTCCAAGGCTTTCGCCTCCAAAGCGATATCGTTGACAATTGTCGCCGCCTTTGTTGCGACTTCCACATCCATAACGACCTCCTCCACAGTGGTGTTCTCACGGTTGCCTGACCCCGATGACTGCACTATGGACGCCGACGTCACGATACTGGCAAGTGTAGTCGCGATGGCGTCGATGCTGTCGGAGTTGGGATCAGAGAGGGCGCCGCTTCTCGACATAATATCCAACAACGTGCCAGCGAACTCTTGGTTTCCACCACTGGACCTTTCCGCCGCCGCCGACAGGGCCGCAAGAGTGCTGAATGGGTCACCAAAGCTGGCCACCGCCACCACCACATCAACAAGAGCTTCGTCGGTGAAATTTGTCCACGTGTCGGTGACCTCCACCTGTCTAACAGCGGCGCTGGAAGAGCCGAGAGTGTCTTTGACGTCAGCTCTGATCATCACCGTCCCGGGCGTCGATAAGACGACGTTCTGCATGGTACTGCTCAGAGAGTAGGCACTTACAGTCGTCCAGGAGTCGCACCCGCCGCTCATCGCCCCAAGACATTTTGAGAACTTGTGCAGCAGCGGCAAGTCGTCGTCCAGCCAATTGAAGGAGGAGAACATGAACGTCGTCATCATGGCGGTTCCAACTATCGGGAACACCTGGCATGAACCGCCCGTCGGTGGCTCGTCGATCAAGAAAGGGGCAGAATCGACTACATATACACCGTTGTTGACATCTTCCGCGAAGCCATGATGCTCCACATCGGATAGTACCAGTCGCAGGTGGTAGGTGCCAGGTGCGGCGGGCAGCGAGGACATCGACAGCTCCGCCAGGCTGGTTGCCGCCGGCGCCGCCAGCTGGGTCGCGCTGGCGGCGCCAGGCGTCAAGAGCCACCACGACTTCCAGGCCGGATCGACGCAGCTGGCCGACTCGGCAATTGCGGCAACGAACGTCAGCGGCTGCTGCGCCGACACCTCTGCCGCCATTTCGCTGAAGGCGACCACGGGCTGTACAGAGTCCGTGACCAACATGCTGCCATGCCTGGTCGACTCAGCATCCGTCCGAGAGACTGTCACTGTAAAACGGTAGGCGCCCGTGGGCAGGCCCCCAGCTGGAAGTTCGATGGAAGAACCTGTGTGCCCTGCCACCCTCGCGCTGCACGCCGCAGCCGCCGCGTCCGAGGCAGCGAACTCAGAAGAATTGTCCGACTCGCAAGCCCACGCGAAGGACAGAGTCGACCCGCTGGGGTCAATCGAGCTTGAGGCATCTATAGAAGAGTTGCACTCTTTCGACACCTTTACTGGCAACGACAACCTTGCGATGGGGGGCGGGATATCGCCCAGCGTCACATTGAAGATGGCATCTCTAGCTTCGGAGTCGACGATTGAGGCCTTCACCTCGTAGGTGCCAGCTTGCAGCTCGCTGACGGGCATCTTGAATGACGTGTGCGCAACGCCAGCAGGGTTAGTCCACTCGGTCCACGGCGCCTCGCTGGCCAACGCCGTCCTCCAACTCCAAGCGACCTTGGTACTCCCTCCGACTGCAGCACCGTCACAGAACACCACATTGGTATGGAGGCGGACGTAGTCATCCAAGAGTGTATACTCTGTGTTGCTGGCCACCTTGACCAAGGACATGGAACTCCCCTCCAATACGTCGAATGTGAACATGGTGGACCCCTGCGACGGGTTTCCATACTGGTTCACGCCGCGCGCTTGCAACCACACAGACATCGGGAACGATAACCCTGCGTCCGCTGTCGCCACGTTAAACATCAGATCTCTTGACACTTGGACTGTGGTCACAACTGCATCCGCTGTAGCTACGGACATGATGATGTTGCACAGCAGCGAAGTGGCAGGCTCACACGACCATGTCAGCTCACTGGTGTCGTGTGGCGCCGCAGCGTGAACGACGAAGAGTGAGTCGCAAGAGATCACATATTCAGGGATTACGGAGAGGAACACAACACCAACTAAGGTCGTAGTCGAGGTGCTTGTACTTGTCGAAGACGTGCTTGTGGTAGTCGTCAAGGTGGTAGAGCTTGTGGAACTGGTCGAAGTGGTGCGAGTGGAAGTGGTGGAGGTGATTGTGGATGTGCTTGTGGTTGTGGATGTGCTTGTGGAAGTGGTTGAGGTGGTTGTGGTCAGCGTACTTGTGGAAGTGGTCAACGTCGTGGTCGATGTAGTGCTTGTCGTGATCGTTGTAGTGACTGTCGATGTTGTGCTGGTAATGCTGGTCGAACTGGTCGATGTAGTACTGGTCGTGGTTGTCGACCTAGTGGTAGCAGTCGTTGAAGTCTCCGTCGCAGAGATCGTGGTTCTCGACGCCGTGATGGATGTGGTGCTCGAACGTGTGCTGCTCGTCTCAGTGGTGCTCGAAAGCGTGCTGGTGCTGGTCGACTCCGTTGATGTGCTGCTGCGTGTGGTAGAGCTGCTGCTCGTGGTGCTGGTGCCCGTAGTGCTGGTCAATGTCGTGGTGCTCGTGTTGCTGGTCCCAGTCGTGGACGTCAAACTAGAACTGCTGCTCTCCGTCGTGCTGCTCAACGTAATGCTACTGGTGTCCGTCATGCTGGTCTCCGTCGTGCTGGTCAACGTAGTGCTGCTGGTGCCCGTCGTGGTGTGCGGAGATGTTGTACTTGTCCCACTGCTCGTCCCACTCGTGCTGCTCCTCGTCGTGCTGCTGCTCTCCGTGCTAGTACCTGTCGTTATCGTCATAGTGCTCGACTCGCTCGTGGATGTCAAGGTCGTGCTGCTGCTAACCGTAGTGCTGCTGGTTGCGCTCGCGGAGGTCAGCGTGAAGCTGCTGGTCTCCGTGCTGGTACCTGTCGTGATCGTCATAGTGCTCGACTCGCTCGTGGATGTCAGGGTCGTGCTGCTGCTAACCGCAGTGCTGCTAGTTCCCGTCGTGGTGTGCGGAGATGTTGTACTTGTCCCACTGCTCGTCCCACTCGTGCTGCTCCTCGTCGTGCTGCTGCTCTCCGTGCTTGGTACCTGTCGTGATCGTCATAGTGCTCGACTCGCTCGTGGATCAAGGATAACCGTAGTGCTACCCGTCGTGGGTGTCGTATGCTGCTCCTCGTGGTGCTGCTGCTCTCCGTGCCGGTACCTGTCGTGATCGTCATGTGCTCGACTCGCTCGTGGATGTCAGGGTCGTGCTGCTGCTAACCGCAGTGCTGCTAGTTCCCGTCGTGGTGTGCGGAGATGTTGTACTTGTCCCACTGCTCGTCCCACTCGTGCTGCTCCTCGTCGTGCTGCTGCTCTCCGTGCTGGTACCTGTCGTGATCGTCATAGTGCTCGACTCGCTCGTGGGTGTCAGGGTCGTGCTGCTGCTAACCGTAGTGCTGCTAGTTCCCGTCGTGGTGTGCGGAGATGTTGTACTTGTCCCACTGCTCGTCCCACTCGTGCTGCTCCTCGTCGTGCTGCTGCTCTCCGTGCTGGTACCTGTCGTGATCGTCATAGTGCTCGACTCGCTCGTGGATGTCGTGCTGCTGCTAACCGTAGTGCGCTAGTTCCCGTCGTGGTGTGCGGAGATGTACTTGTCCACTGCTGTCTCGTGCTGCCTCGCTCTGCTCGTGCTGGTACCTGTCATCGTCACAGCTCGACTCGCTCGTGGATGTCAGGTCGTGCTGCTGCTAACCGCAGTGCTGCTAGTTCCCGTCGTGGTGTGCGGAGATGTTGTACTTGTCCCACTGCTCGTCCCACTCGTGCTGCTCCTCGTCGTGCTGCTGCTCTCCGTGCTGGTACCTGTCGTGATCGTCACAGTGCTCGACTCGCTCGTGGATGTCAAGGTCGTGCTGCTGCTAACCGCAGTGCTGCTAGTTCCCGTCGTGGTGTGCGGAGATGTTGTACTTGTCCCACTGCTCGTCCCACTCGTGCTGCTCCTCGTCGTGCTGCTGCTCTCCGTGCTGGTACCTGTCGTGATCGTCATAGTGCTCGACTCGCTCGTGGATGTCAGGGTCGTGCTGCTGCTAACCGTAGTGCTGCTAGTTCCCGTCGTGGTGTGCGGAGATGTTGTACTTGTCCCACTGCTCGTCCCACTCGTGCTGCTCCTCGTCGTGCTGCTGCTCTCCGTGCTGGTACCTGTCGTGATCGTCACAGTGCTCGACTCGCTCGTGGATGTCAGGGTCGTGCTGCTGCTAACCGTAGTGCTGCTAGTTCCCGTCGTGTGTGTGTCCGGAGATGTTGTACTGTCGTCCTCGACTCGCTCGTCCGTGCACCTAGTGCTGCTGCGTGCTGTTGTACCCCACTGCTCGTCGTGCTGCTCCTCGTCGTGCTGCAGCTGTACCTGTCGTGATCGTCATAGTGCTCGACTCGCTCGTGGGTGTCAGGGTCGTGCTGCTGCTAAGCGTAGTGCTGCTAGTTCCCGTCGTGGTGTGCGGAGATGTTGTACTTGTCCCACTGCTCGTCCCACTCGTGCTGCTCCTCGTCGTGCTGCTCCTCTCCGTGCTGGTACCCGTCGTGATCGTCATAGTGCTCGACTCGCTCGTGGGTGTCAGGGTCGTGCTGCTGCTAACCGTAGTGCTGCTAGTTCCCGTCGTGGTGTACGGAGATGTTGTACTTGTCCCACTGCTCGTCCCACTCGTGCTGCTCCTCGTCGTGCTGCTGCTCTCCGTGCTGGTACCTGTCGTGATCGTCATAGTGCTCGACTCGCTCGTGGGTGTCAGGGTCGTGCTGCTGCTAACCGTAGTGCTGCTAGTTCCCGTCGTGGTGTACGGAGATGTTGTACTTGTCCCACTGCTCGTCCCACTCGTGCTGCTCCTCGTCGTGCTGCTGCTCTCCGTGCTGGTACCTGTCGTGATCGTCATAGTGCTCGACTCGCTCGTGGATGTCAGGGTCGTGCTGCTGCTAACCGTAGTGCTGCTAGTTCCCGTCGTGGTGTGCGGAGATGTTGTACTTGTCCCACTGCTCGTCCCACTCGTGCTGCTCCTCGTCGTGCTGCTGCTCTCCGTGCTGGTACCCGTCGTGATCGTCATAGTGCTCGACTCGCTCGTGGTGTCAGGGTCGTGCTGCTGCTAACCGTAGTGCTGCTAGTTCCCGTCGTGGTGTGCGGAGATGTTGTACTTGTCCCACTGCTCGTCCCACTCGTGCTGCTCCTCGTCGTGCTGCTGCTCTCCGTGCTGGTACCTGTCGTGATCGTCATAGTGCTCGACTCGCTCGTGGGTGTCAGGGTCGTGCTGCTGCTAACCGTAGTGCTGCTAGTTCCCGTCGTGGTGTGCGGAGATGTTGTACTTGTCCCACTGCTCGTCCCACTCGTGCTGCTCCTCGTCGTGCTGCTGCTCTCCGTGCTGGTACCTGTCGTGATCGTCATAGTGCTCGACTCGCTCGTGGATGTCAGGGTCGTGCTGCTGCTAACCGTAGTGCAGTGCTGCTAGTTCCCGTCGTGGTGTGCGGAGATGTTGTACTTGTCCCACTGCTCGTCCCACTCGTGCTGCTCCTCGTCGTGCTGCTGCTCTCCGTGCTGGTACCTGTCGTGATCGTCACAGTGCTCGACTCGCTCGTGGATGTCAGGGTCGTGCTGCTGCTAACCGCAGTGCTGCTAGTTCCCGTCGTGGTGTGCGGAGATGTTGTACTTGTCCCACTGCTCGTCCCACTCGTGCTGCTCCTCGTCGTGCTGCTGCTCTCCGTGCTGGTACCTGTCGTGATCGTCATAGTGCTCGACTCGCTCGTGGGTGTCAGGTCGTGCTGCTGCTAACCGTAGTGCTGCTAGTTCCCGTCGTGGTGTGCGGAGATGTTGTACTTGTCCCACTGCTCGTCCCACTCGTGCTGCTCCTCGTCGTGCTGCTGCTCTCCGTGCTGGTACCTGTCGTGATCGTCACAGTGCTCGACTCGCTAGTGGTGTCAGGGTCGTGCTGCTGCTAACCGTAGTGCTGCTAGTAGATGTTGTACTTGTCTCGTCCCACTCGTGCTGCTCCTCGTCGTGCAGTCGTGATCGTCATAGTGCTCGACTCGCTCGTGGG